GGAAAGTATTATGAGATTCCTGTGCTAACAAGATACCTGGGCCTGTTCACCTACCCAGGCAAAGAAAACATGAAATCACTTTGCCAGGAGCACAAAAGAATCCAAGCACTGTGGGGCCTGGACCCAGACACTTATTAGGGAGTGACTCAACTAAGTCACTTGAGCTACCCCTTTCAGGGTACAGACAATTTATAGGATGAAAGCACAGAGACCGCAAAAAGAATTAATCAGATGAAATACAAGTGATCACTTCACACCTACATAGCCACTGAGGGTGCTCTACCTGGCCTACCAGAGCAATCTCAATCAAAGTGCCCTCACTCTGCTGTAGAAGGATGCAAGTGTAGAAAGGTCTGCCCTTACTCCCACCTGATGTGCCACAGAACAAAATTTAAAAATCAGAGAGTTAGGAGCTTAGCCTTTTAAAAGTCAAGTTTAATGATTTTAAATAATTTATTTTCATTTTATTTGCACCAGTGTTTTGCCTGCATGTATATCTTGTGTGGGGTGTCAGACCCTGAAGTAACAGACAGTTGTGAGCTGCCATGTGGGTGCTGGGAATTGAACCTGGGTCCTCTGGAAGAGCAGTCAGTGCTCTTAACCATTAAGTCATCTCTCCAGCCCCAAGTTTAGCACTTTTAGAAGGACACACGCAGGCAATCCCTGCCTTTTAAATAAAGTGTAAAAGGTCAGTCTGGGAGAGCATGCCAGATCCCTTTGGGAGTCCCTTAAAATATCCTATTTACCAGGTGTGGTGTCACAGCCTCTAATCCCAGCATGCAGAAGGCTGAGACAGTTGGGTGAAGGGCTCAAGACTATTTGGGCTGTCTAATAAGAAACAAAGGTAAACTTGGTGCTGGAACCTAAGACACACAGAGCTGGGATAGTATGCCTGAGTGTACACCAAACCAAAATGAATTTTATGACGTGAGTATCTCAAAATACATAAAAATTAGTAGATATGTGTGGAAGCAAGAAGGTAGACCCATAACCAGAAAAGGAAATCAAAGCTGGACAATGGTGGTGCATTTGAGGTCAGCCTCTGGGCTATAGAGCAAGTTCCAGGACAGCCAGATACACAGAGCACAGAGAAACCCTATCTCGAAAAACCAAAAGAGAAAGAGAGCAGAAGGAAGGAAGGAAGGCAGGGAGGGAGGCAGGGAGGGAGGGAGGGAGGGAGGGAAAGTGAGTGGAAGAGTGGCTACTTGGGGGTAAGGGTGGGTGGAGAGTGAGGAATGCTAGCTAATAGATGTGAGGCTTCCATGGGGAGAGATTTTCTAAAATTATATTGTGATCATGGTTGCAGAACCTTGAACTGTACTTTAAATGTTGTGTGGATTTTATCTCAGTAAATCTGTTAGCAGAAGGAAAAGAGAGAAAAACAGCTGGATATGTTCCCAGATGCCTCTTGAAAACTAAACAGCCTCTTGTTACCCATTGAGTGGCTGGATCACGATTCATGCTTTCCAGATGTCTTCCTCATTTCCTGTGTGTAAACTGTACACTATAATTTAGTATTAGCAGAATGTTAATAAAGATTACACTCCCTTTGTTGCTAAATTCCACAGTGTTTACTATTTTCCTCCAGCATACACATTTCCTCTGTCTTCCAACTGCAGCTGGGCTGCCAAAACCTTGCAGGGAGCAATTACCATCTGCAATGTCCCTGCCTTACTGCAATGTGGGTCAGACTCAGCACCTACAGAAAACTGATGGCAGACTCTCCTTGTGGACAGGGTCCTCACTGTTGTTGTTTGTTTTGATTTTGGTTGGGGAAGTGAGGTTTGAGATCACTATGTAGCACTGGCTGGGCTGGAGCTCACTTTGTAGACCAGGCTGCCTTGAATTCACAGAGTATGGCTGGCCTCTGCTTCCAGAGTACAGGGATTAAAGACGTGAGCCACCATGCACAGCTGATTTTTGAATCCTTCAGCATATATTTTATATCTACAAATTAACTAGTATCATATGTAAAATTTAAAGCAAAACAAAAGCATTTACCTTCTTACCTAAAAGACTATGACTTCAGATTCAATTCTGGGGGCTGGATGTGACAGCACATACCTTTAATCCAGCACTTGGGAGGCAGACAAAGGCAGATCTCTGTGAGTCCTAGGCCAGCCAGGGTGGCAAAGTAAGACCCTGCCTCAAAAAAATAAAAGTTAAAACATAAAAATAAAAATTCACTCTCTGCCCTGCTAGGAGAGGGTGAAATAGCCTGGCAGCTCCTTAAGCAGTTCAGCCAAGTGGCCTTAGTGTCCAGCAGTCCTTTTCCTATGTGTGTCCAGGAGAACAGAAAACATGACACAAAAAACAAACAAACAAACAAACATGCACAGACTGAGTGACAGTTAAAGAAAAGAACTGGGTTTTGTTGTTTGTTTTTGTGACAGGGTCTCACTATATGGACTTGCTGTCTTGGAACTCTATGCAGACCAGGCTAGTCTAAAACTCAGAGATGTGCAGTGCTGAGACTATAGGCATGCACTGCAACACCCAGCCCAAGAGTTTTGGGTGCTTTATAAAAAAAAAAAAAAATGGTTTGTTTTTTTAATTATTTTATGTGTGTGAGCATTTTGCCTACATATATATCTGTGCACCACATTCATACTTGGCCAAGGTGATCCAAAGAGGCACTATACTTCCTGGAATTGGAATTAGCAGATAGTTGTGAGCTACTATATGGGTGCTAGAAACTGAAGCCAGGTCCCCTGGAAGGGCAGCCCATGCTCTCAATTTTTGAGCCATCCCTCCATCCCTGTTTGTTTGTTTGTTTGCTTATGGCTGGTGAAGCCACTCCGAGCTCTATCACATGGAACGTGGCGATGATGTAACGACAGAGGGCATGTGACAGGGAGATCATCAGGAAGGAGATGACTTGTTCTTTCCTAACAACCCTCTCTAAAAACTAGCTAGGGTTCCAAAAAACTACGGTGGACCCAACTTTCATCAGGTTTATGCTCTCACTTTCTCTCTCTCTTTCTCTCTCTCTCTCTTCCCTTCCTCTCTCCCTCTCTCAAACAGGGTGCCATGTAGCCTGGCTGGCTTCTGACTCACTATGTAGCTGAAGATGACTTGGAACTTAGAAGTTCTGATCCTCCTGCCTCAGCTTCCTAAATGCAAGTGTAATAGGCATATGCCACCACTCAGACTTATGCACCATCTCCCTCTCTCTTTTTTTTTAAGATTTTTATTTATTATGTATATTTATTATGTTCTGTCTGCATGTATGCCTGACAGAAGAGGGCACCAGATCTCATCACAGATGGTTATGAGCCATCATGTGGTTACTGGAAATAGAACTCAGGACCTCTGGAAGAGCAGCCAATGGTCTTAACCTCTGAGTCATCTCTCCAACCTAGGCACCATCTCTTAAGGGTTCCATATCACCTCCCAAATGTTGCCACACTAAAGACAAAGCTTCCACCACATCACATACAGAAACATGTACATGAATATCCAAAGCAGCATCCATAATACCTGATGGGTAGATAAGCAAAAATGTGGTCTATTAATATAATGGAATGCTATTTGGTAATAAAAAATAATAAAGACAGATCCATGCTATAATACAGAATAACTTTAAAACATACCAAATGAAAGAAGCCAATCACAAAGATTATATACTACAACCTTGACTATATGCAATGTCCAGAACAGGTAAATCTATAACGGCAGATGATAGGCAAGTGGTTCTCAGTGGCCCAGAGGATTGAGAAGTGGTGATAAAGGAATTTGGGAGTGACAGCTAAGCAGTTCTGGGAGTTTCTCTAAGGCAATGAAATGGTAATATTAATTATGCTGATGCTTACACAAATCTATGAGGATTTTTTGTTTGGGTTTTGGGGGGGGTTGTTTGTTGGGATTTTAGGGGGGGTTGGGTTTTTGTTTATTTGTTTGTTTGTTTTTTGCTTTTGGAGACAAAAAGTGCAGCTCTAGAGCCTGGCACTTACTCGTAGACCAAGTTGGCTTCAAATTCACAGAGATCTACCTGTCTCTGCCTCTCGAATGCTGGGATTAAAGGTGTGTGCCACCACCGCACAGCTCAAATCTATGAGTTTAAAAGCCATTGATTATTATTTTTATTTCTAAATGTGTGAATTGTATGTATATGTCAATTAAGCTGTTAAAAGAAAAATTTACTATACTCAAAGGTTTACTAATTAATTAATGAGTAAACAAAATGTGGTATGTAATGTAATATTATTTAACAGTAAAAAGGTACAAAAATGAGGATGGATATGGTATCCACATTCTCAACTTCAAATCACTACAGCTTCATTTCTTGCTTGCTTTTTTTTTTTTTTTTTTTTTTTCCAGGAAGTAAGGGGCTGATGGTGCCATTCATAAACTAACCAAAGTTCTCTCTACTGATGAAGCACAAGATATCATTTTTAAAATAAATAAATAAGTAGAAACACTTTTTCCCCCCACAGTGGAAGGGGAAGGAAATGATGACAGGTTCTCATTGTTAAGCTATGGCCAGCCTGGAACTTGTTATAGCAGCCAGGCTGGCTTTGAGCTTTCAATGATTCTCCTATCCCTTCCTCCCAAGAGTAGGGATTACAGATGTATACCTCCAAGGCCAGCAAGTCAGACCAACTGTTTTCTGTTTTTTAAGATTTATTACTTTTAGTTATCTGTATGTATGTGTATGCCTCTATATGTGGGTATGTGCAAGTGCTTGAGGAGCCCAGAGGTATTATATTCCCTGGGACTATAATTACAGGCAGTTGTGAACAAACCGGCATGGGTGCTGGGAACCGAACTATAAAAGCAGCATGTAACACGGTGTTTGTACCAGTTGAACCTTCTCTCCAGCCTCTACTCATTCAAATTCTTGAAGTACTTCTTAAAAGGCAAAATTACAGATGCAGATCAATGGTCGATTGTTTGTTAGCAGGAGGCCTATGTTCAAAGTCCAGAGCCTCCAGAGAGAAAATCATCAAATACTAACTATGAACATTTAACTAGCAACACCAGCAACTTGAATTACCAACCTTAAACACATCTTCAACACATCGACTAAGTTCTTCCTCAGTCACCAAAATAGTTCCTGGCACCATATCACTCTCTGGAATCTCTTTGAAAATAAACAAAATTAACTCCATGACTTTTCTGAACAAAACACTAATGAAACAAAGTTTTAATAGTAAGATAGTCCAGGTAAGACCAGAAAATCAGCATTACCACTAAACAATATGTCATTTGTATGTGATATCCATGAAATCTATGATGCTACTGATGATGTCAGATCTAAAACAGAAGAATTCTGTCTTTTTAATGTAGTATTAAAATATCTGGCTATGGTGGCATATGCCTATAATCCTAGCACCTGCAAAGCCACCTGAGACAACACAGCTGAGTTCAAAGTCACCCTGTGCTCTATTAATCTATAGCATTCATTACCTTATTTCCAAAATGCTAGAGATATGACTCACTGATTAAAAGCACTTGCTACCTTTCCATAGGACCCAGGTTGTTCTCAACACTCTACTTGATTCATAACCATCCGTAATTCCAGTTCCAGGGATCTGATGCCCTCTTCTGGTCTCCTCAGGCACTGCATGCATGTGGTGCACAGACACACATGCAGGAAAAAAGCTTACATACTTTAAAAAATAATAAATATTTTAAAAATGAAAATCCGGCTGGAGAGATGGCTCAGAGGTTAAGAGCACTGGCTGCTCTTCCAGAGGTCTTGATTTCAATTCCCAGCAACCACATGGTGGCTCACAACCATCTATAAAAAGATCTGGCGCCCTCTAGAACACTGTATACATAATAAATACATTTTTTAAAAAAAATCCAAACTTAAAGAAAGAGCTCTTCAGGCATATATTTTTGATATATATTGTTCTTTATGGAAGTAAAAAATTGGGCTGGGTGGTGCCGGCATGCCTTTGACCCCAGTACTCAGAAGGCAGAGGCAGTCATGGGCCACTATGCTCAACTTATGAAGTAAGCACTGGGCATTGAACCCAGAACTTTATGTTAGCTAAGAACGAACTTTCTGCTGAGCTATACTCCTAACCCAAACTACATGGAGAGGGAGTTGTTTTTGTTGGGACAGTCTCACTCTGTAGCCCACACTGACCTCAAATTCATGATCCTGCCTCAGCCTTTCAAGTGACGGATACAGAAATATGCTACTATCTCAAAGTTTTCTTTTTTAAAGTTTATTTTTTATTTTTAGTTATGTGTATGTGTGCCTGCACATATGAGAACAGATACCCACAGAGGACAATGGCTCCCTTTGTTCTATGGATGAGCCCAGGTGCTGGGAACTGAACTTGGGCCCTCTGCAGTGGCAGTAAGTGCTTTTAACTACAGATCTATCTCTTCATCCATCCCCCAACCTCTGAAATTTTTCGGTGGTCATGCTGCCTCATATATACCTGGGCAAGAGAATACCATAATGCAATGCACATATGGAAGTCAAAGGGCAAACTGGAGGAGTCCGTTCTCTCCTTCCACCCTTTGGGTCTCAGGGTTCAAATCAGGTCATCAGGCTTGACAGCAAGGTCTTTACCTTCCGAGCTGTCTTGTAGGCCCCTCAAAGTTGTGTGAGGATTTTGATTTTTTTTTTTAATGTAAAAAAACAAAATAAAACATAATATCTTAAAGACTAATAACATGTAATCATTCATAATTGCCACATAAGGGGCTGGAGAGATGGCTCAACAGTTAAGACCACTGGCTGCTCATCCAGAGGACCCAGGTTCAATTCCCAGCACCCATATGGCAGCTCACAACTGTTTGTAACTCCAGTTCCAAGGGATACAATACCCTCATACAAGCAAACCAATGTACATGAACTAAAAATAATAAATTTTTTAAAAATTGCCACAAAGGACTGAAAATGGAGAAACAACATGGAAAACAAAATAGTCATAAGAAAGCCTAGTCTTCAAACTTTTTCAATGGCAATGATGCAGGTATGTAGGACTGAGCACATTCTCACCAGCCTGGTGGCACAGAGGCCAAGACAGATGAATCAGAAGTTCAAGGCCTGCCTGGATGAGTTCAAGGCCAGCATAAGTAACTTAGGACCTGTGGATACATTAAATAAAAAAACGGGTTGGGGGGGGTGCTAAAGCTCAGTCATAAAGCACTTGCCTAGCATCACAAGGTTCTAGGTCCAATCTCCCAGCACCTCCAAACCCTCAAAAAGAATTAGTTATTTGGTTATCAATAGATCATATATGCAAAACATGTAAATAATGTTGCAAATGTAATACAACACAGGAAGAAAACCTGTTCCTGGAGGGAACAAAACAAGGTCCAGGACAAATCCTGACAGCACTGTATCCTGTGAAAATTTCCAAGTGTGATTACTGTTCAATAGACAAGTAAGAAGCTGACTTTGTTTTCTTTAATTCTTAAAATCACATTTACTTATTTGTATGTATGCATCTGTGCTATGCTCACCTGCCTACCACAACCCACATATGGAGGAGGTCAGAGGACAATTTCTTCTACCATTTGGGTCTTAGAGACTGAACTCAAGATGTCAGGCTTGGCAGCAAGCACCTTTACCCACTGAGCTATCTGGCCAGTCCTTTTTTAAATTCAGAGGATTTTTTTAAAAAAGTTTTTTAAAAAGACAGAAACTGACATTTTTTTCCTAAGATTTATACTGTAAGATTTAGGAGTGATATGTCATCACATCTACAACCAACTCTCAAATGTTCCATAAAAAACTACTTTATGTGTGTAGAGAGAAATGAAGCAAATGTGACCAAAATGGGAACAGTTGGAGACTCTGGTGAAGTGTGTCCGAGTGACTCAATATTCTCTTCTTGAGACTTGGGGAAGTGAAATTTTCCAAGTAAAAACCTAAGCGAGGAGAAGGAAAATGGAAGACTCTGAAAGACCTCAGACTTAAACCCTTTAAGATTAAACTGTAATCAGGGGCACCCCAGCTCCCTCCCTTACCTGCTGAGGTCAAGCATCGATGCAGAGGAGCTAGCATAGGCTGAAGCAAATACTTTGAGGCCAGTTCTGGGCATTCCCTCGACATAGTTAAGAAGGTGGTAGTGGCCACTCTCTGAAACTGCCGTGCTGTCAATTTATCTTGAAAATGGAATAAATCCAGAATCTAGAATAAAAATCAACAGCAAACAACAGAAAATGCGATTATATTTTTTTAATTTTTTAAAAGGTGTATGGTTATTTTACATGTATGTGAATCTGTGTACCACATGCATGCTGTACCATGGAGGCCAGGGCGGGGCACTGGATCCTCTGGGACTGGACTTCCGGAGGGCTAGTTCCTATGTGGGTACTGAAAATTAAACCAGTGTATCTTAGCTGCTAAGCTATCTCTCCAGCTCAAAAGAACATTTATTTAAGCCAAAATTATGAAATCACAGCAAGACTGCTGAATACTGAGTTGACAGAACTGTTTTAATTTACCAAACATCAAAGGGTATGAACTGAAGAGGCTATTGGTGGTGGTGGTGATGGTGGCAGTTTAGGGTTTTTTGTTTTGTTTTTTGCTTGGGGGACTTTGGTAAGCAGCATTTGAGACAGGGTCTCACTGTGTAGCCCTGGCTGTCCTGGAACTTGTTATGTAGACTGGGAGCATAGATGTATATGTATATACAACACTTAAACTCAAAAATCCATCTGCCTTTCCATCCAAGCACTTGGATTAAAAGTGTATGCCAGCATCTGTGGCCAAGATTTATTTTTAGTGTGTGTGTGTGTGTGTGTGTGTGTGTGTGTGTGTGTGTGTGTGTGGGGCTATTTGATATGGGTGCTGGGAACCAAACTTGGGTCCTCTGAAAAAGCAGCAATCAGTCTTAAGCATCAGCCATCCTTCCAGCCTAGTTTTTGCTTTTAAAATTGTTACCGCTGGGCATTGGTAGAGCACGCCTTTAATCCCAGCACTTGGGAGGCAGAGGCAGGTGGATCTCTGTGAGTTTAAGGCTAGCCTGGTCTATAGAGCTAGTTCCAGGACAGGCTTCAAAGCAATAAAGAGAAACCCTGTCTCAAAAAACAAAAACAAACAAACAAAAAAAATTGTTACCATGTTAATTTATTGCATTTAACACTTAACATAATTTAGTTTAAAAACTAAAAACATGCAACAAGAGATAATGAACCAGATGAAATTTTGTTGAGATTTCTTTTTTAATGGTGAAATTCAAACTCAAGAGATATGCCTGTCTCAATCTCTTCAGTTCTGGGATTATAAAATAGATTTCTTCAGTTCTGATTATAAGTGTGGGCCACTATGCCCAGTTGGTGAGACATTCTTAAACCTAACAGTTAGGTCATATTCTTCCACAGATTTTTAATTCACTTATTAAGTGCACACCTTTAATCCCAGCACTTCAGAGGCAGAGGCAGTTAGTTGGCTTTCTGAGTTTCAAGACAACCAAAGCTACACAGAGAAACCCTGTCTTGAATTCCACCCCCCAAAAAATAAGGGCCTGGGCTATAGAGATGGTTCATTGGTTAAGAGCACTTACTGCTCTTGCAGAGGACCTAAGTTTGGTTTCTAGTACCCACATTAGGCAGCTCACAACTGCCTTGTACTTAAAAGGGGTAAACTAATAGGAACCAGACCCTCACTCAGCCCCCTGCTTTAGCAGCCATGACACGATACAGAAAAGACATGTAGGCCTCTGACTCAGCACATGACACAACAAAACTTCAGATCCTGTTACCTTCCAGAGCCTAAGGCCAAAACTGAACACAAAGAAACTCCAGACCCCCACCCCCCAACCTCCTAGATGCTTGGTTCCTTGGAACTGTTTGGCCACAAAAGAAACTCCTGGGGAGACCAAAACCTCCTCTGCAGTCTCCAGGATACAGTTCTGAAAATTATTGGTATCTATGAACAACAGGCCACCTGCAAGTAACAAGACAAAGCCATAAAAACCACAGAATGTTCCTTCTCAGCACTGACCAATGAGAATAATTGGTGCACAGGTATTTCATGCCAAAATATGACTTTGAGAAATTCCCCTGATTGATCTCCAAATGTCAACCAATCAGAAACCAACCAGTACCTACTGATACAATGCTGTGATTTTTGCCTTTAAAAACCTGATAGCAGACAGGGAACTTACTTCCTCTGGTGGCTGCTGTATCAGCCAGCTAGATGAGGTCCCTAGTATGGATGGATGCACAATAAACCTTATTCATTTGCATCAGTGGATCTGTCTCTCTCTGGTGGTCTTTGGGGATCTTCGAGACTTGGGCACAACAGTTCTAGTTTGATTTTCTGTTGCTGTGGTAAGACTCTGACCAAGAGTAACTTGTGGAAGGAAAGGGTTTATTATAGCTTAGAGGTGATACAGTCTATCATCAAGGGAAGTCAATCAGAATGGGAACATAGTGGAGGAGGTAGTGGTCCCCACCAGGCACGGTGGCTTACAACTGTAACCTCAGCACCAGGGAGGTTAAGACAGGAGGATCACTTCCGACCTGAGTTGTATATTGAGTTCTGGGCCAGTCTAAACTCCAGAAACCCTGTCTCAAACTAACAAACAACATAAAAAGAAAGTCACCACTAGGCAGCGGTAGTACACACCTTTAATCCCAGCGCTCAGGAAGCAAAGGTAGGCAGATCTCTGTGAGTTCAGGCCAGCATCTACAAAGCTACACAGAGAAACCCTGTCTCTAAAAACAAAAAGAGCCACTTGCTAAACAGCAAAATGAAAAACTATATTGCTGTTCCTCCTTCACTTTTTGAATATTAACGGCCTATATGTGAATTAGCAGATAAGGCTAATGGATCAACAGTAACAAGATGATTTACCTGTGGGCAGATGTCCTTGTAGTAGCTCTCTGGGGAAAGAGACTGCTGGGGACAAGAGGCCAGAATCTTTGCAATCAAGTCACATTTCTTCCAGTCAGCCGCTGTGGCCTCGGCATCACTCCCACCAGCAGCACCCGCTGTTACGTGGAAACAGACATCAAATGCTCAAATTTCAAAAATATAAAAAGTTTTCTTTTATCAAAATGTTCCCATTACCCACTCTTAATTTCTTCTACCTCCCACCAAAATATTTCCTCTGAGAAAACCTGAGTTGGGTATGGTGGTACACACTTGCAATCTCTCCTTGGGAAGCTTAGATAGGACTAATGCAAGCTTGAGGCCCAACTCATCTACAAAGCAACGTTCAGGGTAGTGGGATGTACACAAAACCCTATCTCTAAAGGAAAAAAAGCCAGATGTGGTAAGACATCACAAATTTAAGGCTAACCTGATCTACATAAAGATTACAGGCCAGCAAGGTCTACATAGAAAAAAAGAATTCATTGCTAGTAGACCTAAGAAGTGATTTTTTTTTTTTTTAAGTTGAGGCAGAAGGAAATACAGATTGAAGTTTGTTTCTTCAAAGACTTATTCATTCTATATCATTTGTATGATTGTTTTGCTTGCATGATGTATATGAACTGAAGAGGCTAGAAGAAGGTGATGGGAGATGTCATTCTGTATATGTTTCTCATACTGGTTAATAATAAAGCACTGTTGGCCAATAGGAAAGGAAGATAGGAGGGACTAGGAGACAAGGAGGAAATAGGAAGTAGGAAGGAGGAGTCAAGATGGAGAGTCTGAAGAAAGCACCCAAGAAAACAAGACATCAGAAATGGGTTAATAATTAAGGCAGAGCTAGCCGATAAGAAACAAGTAACAGGGCCAACAGCATTGTACAAAACAGAGTCTCTGTGTGTTATTTGGGGCTGGTGGCGTGGTAGCAGGACAAGACCGGGCAGCAGGCGGAAAAACCGAACACGTTAGAAGAAGGCATCAGATCCTCTGGAAGTAGAGTTACGGATGGTTGTAAGTCACCATGAAGGTGCTGAGAGCTGAACCCAGATTCTGGACAGAACAGCCAGTGCTTTTAACCACCGAGCTTGTCTTTGGGACTTTTGTTGTTTTGAGACCAGATTTCACTATGCAGCATGTAGACCAGGTTAACCTCTAACTCTCCATACTCCTGAGTGCTGAGAGGTCATAGTATATGCCAACACACTTAACTTGGGGACCTAATTTCCTTATAGAAGCCCTCCAGTCTGCATGTCTTTGAGCAAAATCTACTGGGGTCGAATTCAGTACCCGCGAGGTACAAGGACTATGTTGAACTACACCTCCACACTCAATGAGATTTAAAGGCAAAGGCTAGTGATTCATCTTTGACTCTCAAAGGGAAACAAAGTAACAGAAACATGTTATTTCTTACCACCTGCTCCTTCCAAAATGCCCCGGACTACTGCCTGAACACCGTTGGGTCTCATCAACCTTTCAGAGAGCAGCTGCCCACACAGACGCCGGAGCCAAGCTGGGGTGTGACCCCTAAGCGGTGTCTTTATATCTGTACAGGACTGACAAAAGGGGTGGAGTTATAAACTGAGCATTAATGAAACATATACAATATGAACACACTGGTTTTTATTTGTGTTGGGAAGGTAGCTCAGTGGTGGATCCTATGTTTAGCATGTGCAAGCACCTAAGTTTCAATCACACCCACAGAGAGAAAGTCTGAAATACTCCCCCTATCTTCTTCTCTGTTCAGTGCTAGTAAATGAACCCAGAGCCTTGTGAACAGGAGGCAAGCCCTGCTCAGGCTGTCAGTTTTCCTTTTAAAATAAACAAGAACTTTCTCTTTTACAAAACCTTCTTCAGCATTACAATTTTGGATTGTTTATTCGCTCTCTCCCTCTTGAATCCCTTGGAACTAAAGTTACAGGCATTTGTGAGCTGTCTGATATGGACACTCAGATCCAAACTTGGGTCCTCATGACTAAGCAGCAAATGTTCTTAACTGATAAGCCATCTCTCTAGCCCCAATCATAATTTTGATTTTTTAAAAACAAGGTCTCACTAAGCACCCTAGCTGACCTGGAACTTGCTATATAGACCAAAAGGGTCTCTATTTCATAGAGATTTGCCTGTCTCTGCTCCAAAGTGGGATTTTATTTTAATTTTTAATTTTAATTTTTAATTTTATTTATTTATATTTTATGTATGGGTGTTCCACATGTATACCTACATGCCAGAAGAGAGCATCAGATCCGACAGATCTTTATGAGAGGGCTAAGCCAATCAGGGCTACATAGTAAAACCTATCTACATAATAATACTATTACTAAAGAAGCAAGGCTCAAATAGATGATTTTATAGGAAACTAAAGCCAGCTAACTTTCCAGGCAAAGAAGACAGCACCACACATCAACTCCCACCAAGTCCTGAGGTCTGAATACCTGGGGTGGTCCTCCCTGGAGGATAAGTAATTCCCGGACAGCTAATGGTTGGTAGACTTGATCCAAGATGTCTCTCAAGGACCCCCTTGATAGGGTTCTTTCCTCTTCTGTTAAAACCTAAAAAAAAAAAAAATGTACATTTGGCTTTAGTGGAATATAGAGCAGGCAGAGAACAGAAGGTATGTTTACTAAAACTCAAGAGAGGAGAGGAAGAAAGTGTTTCTTAGTCCATTTGCATAAAGGAAACTGTGCTCTGCAGACACCCCTGGCCCTTTCTCCATCTCTCACCTGCTCTGTTCTGGGTAGATATGCTCACCTGCTGGTGACTCCTTGCTGTCCACTGAGCACATGCTGCTCAGCCTGCTCCTCTTCTCTCAGTGGGAGTGAGACAGAGCAGATGGGTATCCCCTGTCATGGGGCAGGTGGTGCCACAGTTTTCTATGGCTCCTGAGACTGGATGAACAGTAAGTATGTCTGCCTGGAGAGTACTGATAGGGTTCCATCTTAATTTAAGAGATCTCTCCTCACTGGCAAAATGAGCCAGATGGTAGGGGCTCACACCTTTAATGCCAGCACTAAGGAGGCAGAGGCAGGCAGATCTCTGGGTTCAAAGTTAACCTGGCCCACAAAGTAAGTTCCAGGACAGCCAGAGCTACACAGAGAAATCATATCTCAATAAACCAGAGATAGATATATATATATAGAGAGAGAGATCTCCTCCACCTCTGTCTTCATGAACAGTGGCGATATTTTTTACTTTGTGGTGAAACTGGTTCTCTCCCTGCACCTTTATGTGGGTTCTGGGAATTAAACCCAGGTCACCAGGTATACATGGTAAACATTTCTCTACCTGATGAACCATCTTGCCACCCCCCCACATTTTGACTTTTCATCTCCTACTCTGATAACTGATTTTTCCTGCATTCAGAACTTAACTGTCAAAGAGGGATGAAAGTTATTTCAGGTACTCTTAATGCCCAACAGTACCATCCCCTCGGGTACTTACCACTAATTACCATGTAACACACTGAGATGTGTGTGCTATGCAGAGCAGCTTCACAATGTACGATCATGGGGTGTCCCTATCAACTCCTGAGCCAGCCTTCGTACATGGGTTCTTTCAGTATGTTTGACTTCTTTTCTGTTTTGCCTGAGACCCTCAGAACACTGAAGGGCCTCAAAAACAATAACAATACTCCAACCTCAGGCTGTAAACACTGATGGTTCTACCAATATGCATTACCATGAAATAAAGAGCAGATGCTCTACTCTGGACACTGTTCAGTGACATTGCTTGGACATAGTGGCTTTTAGGTAAGTACTTGGGAAGTGGTATACTAGGGTTACTATTGTTGTGATGAATAATGAATACAAAGCAATAAGCACAAGGGTGACCCCAGCAGGTGTAAGAGAAGTGACAGCCTATTGAGGTAGCAGTGGGGCATCAACTCATGCTGTGTGATCCTTGATTCATTGATATTTGAATGGCAGCATCTCTAGCTAGCTCCTGAGACTGGTCCACTAAGGGAAGACACAATGGTGTCCTATGTGTACATCTTTTCTCCTCAATTATTGTGTAAACTATATGAAGAGAAAGAGCGTGTCTATTCTAGTTTGCTTTCTGTTAATGTGATAAACACTGACCAAAAACAAGTTGGGGAGGTCATTCATCATTGAGGGAAGCCAGGGCAGGAACTAAAGCAGAAACCATGGAGGACTGTATTTACTGGCTAGCTCTCTGGTTCTCTGCTCAGCTAGCTTTTGTATGCAGCCTAGGATCATCTACCCAAAGATGGAACAACCCACAGTGCGCTGGGTCATCCCACATCAGTCATTAATCAAGACAATTCCTCACAGAATTGACCAGGAAACAATCTGGACAACTCTTGAATTGAACTCCCTTAAATGACACTAGGCTGTATCAAATTAGCTGTAGCTAACTAGGACAATGCCTTAGGCTTCTGTAACCTCCATACAAATTCTGTGGTTCAGACCAGCTGCTATTCAACTGCTCTCTGAACAGCACATTCCCCCCAGCATCTCCCATCCAAGTACTAACCAGGCTTAACCTCTACCTATTAGATAAGATCCAGTGCATTTGGGTGGTATGGCCATAGACACCCACCCCCCAACATTTAATACAATAGTGACTGAGTTTTGCATTCTTTATCTCATTGAACCTCCTGAGAAAGAAGGGATAACTTGTTTAGTGCTAACATTAACTATTTTCTGAATAACACTAGTAAGGACTAGGTTAGGTACTTCATATACATTATCATTATCTCCACAAACATTGTTCTCACTTCCAAGGTTTATATTAGTATATTCATTTTATAAAAGGGCTGGAGAGATGGCTCAGCAATTAAGAGTTCTTGCTGTTCTTCCAGAAGATCTAGTCTGATTCTCAGCACCAACATCCAGGTGGCTCACAATAATCTATAATTCCAGCTCCAAAGGAGTCCAAGGGTATCTGCATACAGGTAGCATGCACACTCACAGACACATACTATACACATAAATAAAAAATAAGTTAAATAAAAGAGTAAATAGACATTCAAAGAAATAGCCTGAAATAGCTACCCCACAAAATGACAGGGAACAGGTAGAATAGTGGAATGACCTCTAAAAGCCTCCAATACCCCATCTCCCAAAAGATTACACTTTGGGTATGCCTTGGCATTAGAAAGAAATTCTAGATCTCAGCCTGGTGAGGTGGCACATGCCTTTAATCCCAGCACTTGGGAGGCAGAGGCAGGGGAATCTCTAAGTTTGAGGCCAGCCTGGTTTACAGAGTGAGTTCCAGGACTGCCAGTGCTACACAGAGAAGCCCTGTCTCAAACTTCCCCAGAAAAAGAGTGAGAAAGAAAGAGAGGAAGACACAGAGAAAGAGAGACAAAGAAAGAAATTCTAGACCTTTCCATCAGTTCATTTCTGAAGAACTAAGAAATTAACTTAGAACCTTACACAAATATACACACTATCATTCACATTCTCTCTCTTCCTACATTTACCTCTTCCACAGGTGCTGGTGGTTTTCTTTTGATTGGGCAGAACCCCAGCTGGCACAGACCTGCAGCAATATCCCCAAAGTGACGGCAGAAAATCAAGCTTCCTAGAGATGCATGCTGAGCCAGCTCTAGGAGGACCCTGCAGCAGATGTACAGTCTCCGGGTGGCATGGGGGGCAGCCTCCAGGCACACTACATCTTGAACAACAGCTCCAAACTCAGTCCTATATCTCAGAGGGACTCCCACACCAGGCATGAGGTAGGGGCAGACACCCAAGGTAACTACAAACTGTAGAACTGACTGGACAGTCTTCTGTTGGGAGACACTAAGTGTATCTGGACTGAGGGCAGGAGCAGCTTCTGGAGTCCTAGGGTTAGGTGTGCTTGGACTGAAATCAGCTACAAGGCGGGTCATGGTTTCCTTCAAACTCAGCAGCAGCAACAAAGTTTGAGAGGTGAAACTCCAAGTGATATCCTCAGAGTTCTGCAGCCACTCGACCTTATGAGCAATTTCGTCTCTTAGGACTTTCAACTTCTTCCACTGAGTATCCTTCAGAAACTTGGCCTCCAAGGCAGACAGGTTATATTTTAGAGTCTCCAGCAAGACATCATGTTTTGTGTTCTGTAGTGAACTTGAGCCTGATCCTTTTGAAAGAGAAAAAAGGGAAATAATGAACAAACAAGTGACACTTCCTTCTTTATGGAACATATTGCCCACTCCAAACTGGAGATGACCAGGAAAGATAGGGTGCTGACTATAAGATTGTTAGGCAGCTGAAAAATTCCTTTTGCAGGGCAGTCTTTTTTGTGATGCTGAGGACCAACCCTTACACATAGGTCCTTACACATGCTATGAAACTGTTCTGCCACTGAACTGTAATCCCAACCTCACTTTTAAAAAAGAAAAAAAAAAAAATCTACAGGCTGGCAAGATAGCTCAGTAGTAAAGAAAGTCTTCTGCTTGCACAATTGTGAGGACTTGTGTTTGGATCCCAGCACCTATATAGACCAGGCATCTGGTCTATGCCTGTAACCCTAGTTCTAAATGGGTAAATGGGGTGGAGACAAGAGGGTTGCTGGGCTCGCTGACTTCAGCCTAGCCAAGAAAAACATGAGCCCTAGAATCCAGTAGAGATCTTGCCTCAAAAGAAAAAGCACAGACAAAAAAAAAAAAAAGGGGGGGGGGGGAATAACTTGATGTCCTTGTCTTGCTTCAGTACACATAGGCAAACGTGCATGCACGCACACGTGCACCAGCACACACACACAAAATAAATCTAATATTTGTCCTTTAAAAAAAAACAGTGAGAAACAGCTGAATACAGTGGTTCATAATTCCAATCCTAACATTTGGGAGACTATAGGTTAACATAGGAAGGTTGCCATGAGATAGGGGCTAATCTGCACTATACATGAGACCTACAGGTGGAGTGTGGGGATATGGACATGAGAGTCAAAATAACAAGAGTTTTGCAGTATTTCCATCTCTGCTTCCCTGGTACTAAGATTACAGGTACAAACTACTACCCTCAGGTTTTTGTTTTGTTTCTTGTTTTTGTTTTTCTAAACAGAGTTTCTCTGTGTATCAGTCTTGGCTGTCCTGGAACTCTCTTTGACCAGGCTGGTCTGGCCTGGCCTGGAACTCACTGAGATCCACCTGCCTCTGCCTCCCAAGTGCTGAAATTAAAGGTGTGTGCCACTGCTGCCCAGTACTGTCAGCTTTTTTTTTTTTTTTTTAAATGAGTGCTAAGAATGAGAACTCAGGTCCTCATGCTTGTAGAACAAACACATTACCAAAGAACTGTCTGCCCAGGAGTTTTTCTTTTTTCACTTAATTACATCTAAATCTTTTCTATAATAAATCAATTGCTTCTGTACATAAAAAGATATTTAGAGGTTATAAAACTAGAGCTGACTGGGCAAGTATTCTGACCCACTAGTATTAAGATATGGCTCTTTTAGCAAAGACACACTAAACAGAAAATGTGAGCTTGTAGCCACTAACCATTCAGGTCAACAAACAATCTCCCCATGACTCCCTGTGGTATACAATTTCTGTGACCAGGTATGAAGTACAAGGTAGTGATTTAAAGCAAGAGCTTGGTGGGGTTCTGCAGAAGCCTTGTGATACAGCAGTCTGCCCTGCCCTCTACTGGTAGCGGTGATAAAATAAAATACCTGAAAATGTTGGCTCTTCAGCAGCCTTCCCCAAGACCCCAGCTTGGTTTTGAAAGAATTGCTCCATAGCCTGGACTGGCCTCTGCCTCCAGAGTGCTGGGATTACAGGGATTCACCATGCCTGATACTAAAGCAATTCCTAAAATGTGGCATAAAGGACCCTGGTTGCGGAGAAGTCTGCAAGGGCACAACAATTCCATAATAACTGTCCTACTTTGCTTCTATGGCTATGATAAATAAACACCATGACCAAAAGCAACCTGGGGAGGAAGAGGTTTCTTTGGCTTACAGGTTAGAGTCCATCATCTAAGGATGCCAAGGCAAGAACTTGTGACAGAAACTGAAGCAGAAACCATGGAGAAATGCTGCTTACTGGGATACTCACCAGGCTTGCTTACCTTGAGTTTTATTCAGCCATGGGCCACCTGCCCAGAGATGGCACTGCCCAGTGTGCTGAGCCCTCCCACATTAAACGTTAATGAAGAAAATGCACCACAGACACAATATGATGGAGGCATTTTCTCATTAGGGGATCCCCTTTAGCTCATATCAAGTTGGAGATAGACAGACAGAAAGGCAGGCAGACAGACAGACAAAAACTAATACAATAACACCAAGGCAGGGCTGGGAATGTACATAGATACATACATCAGGTACTAAGTTTTTTCTCCAGCATCACACACAAAAAGAGATTTAAATATGTAAAAATAATGCTGCTCTTTCTCAGTTATTTTTCCTTTAAAATGTCACTATAAGGCAGACTAGAGTTGAACATCTGTTACTGTAGCACTTGGAAGATTGCTTCCAATCAAAGCCAGCCTGGTTTACACAGTAAATTCTGGGCTAGCTCTAGCTAAAGAATAAGGCCCTGCCCCAACCTCCCCTCCCCACACACACACCCAAAAAGAAATCTGAGAACTCAGGAGGAAGAAGTGGGCAAATCACCAAAGTCCGAAGTCAATCTGTTGTACACGGCAGGTTCCAAGGGTATACAGCTCACACTGCCTATAAATTCAACTCTGTGGAATCTAACACTTCTGGACTCTCTCGATAACTGCACTCATGTACATACCCACAGATACACACAATTTAAAATAAAGTAAATCTTTTTTTCTCTTAATATGGGAGATGGAGGATGGTGCACTGGTTAGGAGGACCAATGACTCTGACTCTTGAGATGACTGGGGTTCAAGTCCCAGCACCCACATAGCAGCTCACAACTGCCTGTACCTGTTCCAGGTACTCTGACACCCTCTTCCGGCTTTTGTGGGCTCCTATATGCATATGGTGCACATAAACACACTCAAAGAAATAGGTACATACAAATATTTATGAAAATAATATATCTGTATCTTGCCACTGACTTTTTGTTTTGCTTTGCTGTTTTTTCAAGACAGAGTTTCTTTGTGTATCTCTGGCTGTTCTAGAATTTGATCTGCAGATCAAGCTGACCTCAAACCCACAGAGATCTTCCTTCCTCTGCCTCTGAGTGCTGGGACACTGCTGCCCAGCTGCCACTGACTCTTAATTTGGGGCAATATTATATATTTACCATGCTTTTGGTGAAGAAAACTGAACTCATTTTACTATGGGCAATTTCCAATGTACCTGGGCCTTGGTTTCTTCCTCTGCAAGTAAGGTTAGGAGGTTATTGTGAGGACTAAATGATAAACATATAAACGGAACACTGTGGGGACTGACACTTAGAAGGCTTTCATCTATTATTAATTTCTTTTCACTTCCCACTAATACAGTGTAATGCTTGGGATCAACATTTGAGACTGAGAGCATTCACCTTACATATCTTTACCTTGATAATTCGACGCGTGCCCATACATACTGTAGTTATAAGTAGGAACTGTTCTTACACCCTTCTCTATATTTCCAGATAGCATCAGAGGATCTATTCTGTATAATTTGCCTTAGTCTGGGAAGGAGATTGGGCAGAACTGAGTTCTAGGTCCATGGTCAGCCCACCAACATGATCACGTAATTTGGGGCATGAGTTCCAGAACAGCCTTAACTAAAGAGTGATAACCCTCTCTAAAAGAAAAAAACAAAAACAAAAACAGAAAAACAAAGCAACGTGAATGGTGATGCCTGCCTAATCCTAGCACTTGAGAGGCATAGGCAGTCAAATCACCACAAATTGGGACTCAAAAGTAAATGGCAGCGCAAGGTTTCACCATTCCCTAGGTCCCTTCAGATTCTAAATTGGGAAGGGTCAATCAACACAAAAGATTAAGTGTCACTGTACATCCCTGATACCAGAATGGTAACCTCCTAAATATCTTTCTCAAATTCCGCAAAAAACGCTCCTGCTCTGCTTCTCTGGTCACTTGGTATTTTGGACAAATCTCAAGCGTGCACATCAGGCCCGGAGCCCTCAAGCGGCCGAGGCCTCACATTACACCTGTCTGAAGGAGTCTGTCCATCCACAGTCCCTGCTTCAGGGAGGCGCACGATCAAACAATCGCTGACAGGGAAGGACCTCGGCGAAGGCCCTCCGGGAGCTTTAGTTCCTTTAAGTTTCATCTGAGACTGGACAAGACCCAAACGCCCCCAGGAGTGGGACGGAGATCCCGGGAGGGCCTGAGGGGAACATGCTGTGGAGCCAGGGCAAGCCTGGGAGCCCCGCGGCCCCGCAAGCCTCAGGTCCAGCCTCGCGCCAACATTCGCCCTCTCACCTCCCGGGCTCAGCAGCAGCTTCAGCGCTTCCACAATCTTCTCCAGACCACATGTCTTCAGAGCCCCACTCGGCGCAGCCGCCGCCGGTTGCGGGGCCGCCATGATAGGGGAGGAGCTCGCCTCTGAGGTGCGTTCAGATGCCCTAGAGGACCAACGCGGCCGCCATGTTGAGTGCGGCGGGAGGCGTACCCGAGGCCAGGGGCGGGGCCTGCTCTGCCGGGAACGCCCCTGTCTCTCTCGCGCGCGCGCGCTCTCTCTCTCTCTTTTTTTTGGTCTCCTCTATTCCTCTCTGAGCATGATGAGAAACAATAGTTTCATGTGTTGTTCTCTCAGAAGACCCAAGTTCATTTCCCAGAACCTGACATCAGCCGGTAAACCCAGGCCCACGAGGAATATGCACACACATGAACACACAAGCATAATTTAAAGTATTTTTTTTAAAAATGTAATTAAATAGGAAAGACAAAATAAAGAGTGGTAGCACACATCTTTAAGACTAGTACTTGGAAGCAGAGGCTACCTACTTTACATAGCAAGTAACAGGTCAGCCAAAGACCCTGTCTCAGAAACAAAGTAAAAAGGACACAATTTGTCTTGCAAGACAAATATAGTAGTTGTAATCCCAACTACTATAGAGGCTATAGCAGGAGAATCAGAAGTTCAAAGCCAGCCTACACAGCTTAATGTAGGTCTCAAAAATAGTAGAAAGAGCTGGAAATGTTGCCCAGTGATAGAGCACTTAGCTGATATGCACAAGTTCAAGTTCAATCCTCAGTACTTCAACCAAAACAAAACAAAAAAAAAAAAAAGCTTCTTGTAAAATAATATGCATATTAGTATGAAACACAATAAAATAATGTTCACAGTTGTGCCTAGAACCAATGATATCAGCATTCAAGCAGGCTGAGGTCAAAGGATCATGGGTTCAGAACCCTGTCTCAAAAGGCAACAATGGCAAAAAATATTAAACTAAATATTATGAATTTCCTTATGTGACATTTAAAATTAAATATACAGGGGACTGGAAAGAAGGATCAGTGATTTAGAATATTTGTTGTTTTTGTAGAGGACCCAGCCAGGTTCAATTCCCATCACCCACATGGTGCCTCTCTAACTTCAGTTCTAGGAAATCTGATACCCTCTTCTGGTCTCCAAGAAGACCAGCTATACATGTGATACACAGACATACATCCAAGCAAAACACACATAACTATAAAATAGGTAATTCTTTAAAATTCTAAAAGTGAATATCCTCTGTAAATATGATAGATACAAACATCAACATTGGTATATGTTGTTTTTTATTTGGTGAAAGAGATTAAAGCCAGAGCCCCTAGCTCATGTTCTCTGCCAATAAACTACATTGGCATCCCCAGTGGTAAGGTTCTGAAATGTCCTTAGTAAAGTTTCTCTTGGTTCTATATCATGTTTACATGGAAAAGAAAATTTAACATTGTGATTCAGATAATCACCAACAGGTTCTTCACCTCCATAATTCCTGATGGGACATTCAGAGACCTCAGGACAATGCTTTTTCTTTTTAATTATTTTTAGTTAGCATAAAGAAAAAATCATTATGACATTTACACCACACACAATGTTATCCTTTGCTTGTATTACCCCCCTCACCCCAGTCCGTTGCTCCCCCTTTCTTGTCCATCTTCCTCCCTCCTACTGATCCTCTTCCTGCCCCAGGATTGTCCCTTCCCTCTCAAGACCTCCTAATGAGAAATGTTTTTTGACCATCCCTGAAGTGCATTGGGATGGAGCATGGCTGACTCCTGCCCTTCCAAATTAATGGCTAGAAGTCTTGGGGAGCAGAAACACTCCACATGTAGTCACAGTCATGAGGAAAGTTAGCCAATTAGGCCCTCTCATGATCTGTTTCGTTCCTCTAGGTTCCAGCCCAAACCCATTCCTTTTCTAGCCTCTAAAGTGAAGAAGAAACATGATGCCACTGAGAAGTGTAAACATCTCTAGTAATGTTTGCCACAGGGGAAACGCCAAGCGGTAACTCCTTTTCACCATCTCTTCCTCAAGACCCTTCGGAGAAGGGTGGAGAAATGTGTTTGATAGGAAAATACAGGATTTTGGAAGTTACTATAATGTTCTTCCAGGCTTGCTTCTAGACAACTTCCCTTCAATATAGGCACAAGTTCTTCCGAGGAAAAATTACTAAAAGTGATTGAAGGTGTTAAATATTAAGTGAGGCCAGACAGGGTGTTGCACTCAGCAACTAGACAGAGACAGGAATTCCAGGCCAGTCTGTTCTTGCATACAGAGTTCAAGGTCACTCAGCACTGTCTCCAAAAAACAAAGGGGGGTGGGGGTGGCATAGCAAGATGGCTTACCTGGTAAAGGTGGTTCACTGAGTTCTGAGTTTAACCTTGGAACTGAGAAAACTGACCCCTAATACCAACAATGTCCTCTGACTTCCACATGCACAAACTTTCCCACCTGTACACACTAAATAAATCATACCCACAAATAGATATATTTGTGGAATGGAGGATGGAAGAGAAAGTTAAGTCAGTAAGGGTTTGCCTTGCAATCAAGAGAATCTGAGTCTCATGCCCAAAACCCATATTTTCAAAAACCTGGGTGCATACACTGGATCCACACACTAGATCCCTGAGGCTGGTTGGCCAGCCAGTCTAATCTACCCAGTAAACCTCAGGCCAATAGACACCCTGTCTGAAGAAACAAACAGGGCTAAAGAAATGACTCAAAGGTTAGGAGCACTCGTTGCTCTTGTAGAGGACTCAGGTTTGATTCCCAGCACCAATATGGTGGCTCACAACTATCTGTTAACTCCAGTTTTAGATGATCTGATGGCCTCTTCTGTCCTCCACAGGCACCAGGCATGTGAGTGGTACACAGATACTCATACACATAAATGAAATTAAATAAAACATCCATACATATAAAACCAAGTGATCTGAAAATAAAACATGAAACTACACCTGGGAGCGCCCTAGTAAACATGCTATTAAGCATCCATTACAATCTGTCCTCAATATCTAGGACAGGACTTGAGGGCAGCAGCTACAAAGCAAAGTACACACCTTTTGCTCAAACCAGAACTAACAAACTAACAGCTTTCAGGGGTATCAATGGCTGTTTTACAAGCCCAGAATTTTCAGGAAAGATGTCAGCACACAAGGTGCTTGTGGAAGCCACCTTTGGAAGCCATTTGTGATAGCTAGAATGTTTCTGTTTATCTTGTGCAATTGTCTTCCTCCTCACAGATGCTGGGCAAGCATTCGACTACTGAACCGGCCCTTACCCCTTTTCTCTTTTGTTGCTGTGGGTGCATCTGAATGGTTGAACCCTTGTCCAGCATATGCAAGGCCTTAGGGTCAATCTCCAGTATCATGCCTCCGAGCACAATTGTGGCCCCACTATTAGAAATATTCACTGGCAGCACTGAAACTGCAGGTTTGATTCTATCCCATTGACCTTGGAACTTTCTGATCTCACCACATGCTACCTGGATGGGGGCTCTGAGCCGTGACCCTGTGTTACATTTGCTCCCCAAGCAAAAGGACTGAAAGCATGGAGAAGTTATTCCAGCTGGAAGCTGTTTGCTTGTTTTTTATTTTTATCTTTTGGTTTTTAGAGACAGGGTTTCTCTGTGTGTAGCTCGGTCTGTAAACCAGGCTGACTTCAGATCCAAAGAGATTCCCCCTGCCTCCCGTGCTGGGATTCTGAGCTCACTTCCTTTGTCTTTACATCTCACTTGGAATTCTGGCAAACAAATCAAACAAGCGTCACAACAGTTTAACAAAACTCTTTAATAAAATTTATAAAAACAGTTTCAATTGTTTACTTCTCCACTCCCCACAAAATACAAAATTATCAGCACCCACACACATATACACTCAAACTACATACAAGTGACACTCTATACTGACTACATTAGACATTTAAACTACAAAGAAATCAACAGTTCTCACAGTTGATTGCAGCCATTGTTTTCATCCAAAAATAGTTGAGTGTCAAGCACTTTCAATGAAACTCTCTCCAAGTGGTTATCAAAAAACTGAGATTTGCATTTTTTGAATTAAGAAAAGATTCAAGTCAAGACCCTCACCCCCTTCCTCCCATTAAACAGTGTTTTCTTCCTGCTTCTACAAGAAAATGCACAATTCCTAACATGAGTTTTTTGTGTTTTAGTTTTTCAAGACAGGGTTTCTCTGCATAGCCTTTGCTGTCCTGGAACTAGCCCTTGTAGACCAGGATAGTCTCAAACTCAGAGATACACCTGCTTCTGCCTGCTGGCATATGCTACCATTGCCCAGCACATTTTCAGTTTTCTATACATACTTAGAATTGGATAATCTTAGTCCAACTCACCCAGCATTTTCTGTAGCTACTGTCAAAAGCAAACATTGGAAGGGCATGTTTCCTGGGCTTTGGGGATACATGCACAAGGGTTCCAGCCAGAAAAACACATGGTAACATCCCTCTAGCAGGAATTTTCTGGCAAAGAGGTCAAGCCACCTGTCACCCTCACCACCAGTGTGCTATCTGGCCAGGCACACTGACACACTTGCTACCCCCAAGCAAGGCTCTTGAATTTCCTCTCCTCTGTCTTTGGCTTCAGCACTCTGGGCACTAGTCTGAGTCTCAGGGTACATTGCTCTTTTATGTTGGTGTGAAGGAAACATGAGAAACCAAGTGGTACCTGAAAACTATCCAATGTGTTCTGGTCACAGCTTCCCATAGAGAACCATGGCAACATATCCCACTATAGCTTTCACCTAAGAAAGGGACAAGGAATGCCCATTGCAAGTGAGTGCTCCAGAGGTGAGAAGGAAACCCATGAAAGGTCTTTGAAACACACAATATCCAGTTCAGTTACACCCATACCTTTTCTGGATCACCAGAAAAGGACCCAGTCATTTCTGCATCATAGGGCAACAGAAGAATTCAGGAGCGTAAGTGGGTATTTGAATACAGAACATGTGGGCCGGGTGTTGGTGGTGCACGCCTTTCATCCCAGCAGAGGCAAGCAGATCAGTGTGAGTTCGAGGCCAGCCTAGTCTACAGAGCTAGTTCCAGAACAGGCTCCAAAGCAATATAGAGAAACCCTGTCTTGGCGTGGGGGGGGGGGGTCTTAATGTGGGGCGATAAGGCTTGGGGTATAGCTCTGGAGCACAATACTTGCATAGATTCCCTAACTCAAAAAACAAAACAAAACAAAACAAAAAAAAAAAAAAAAAAAAAAAAAAAAAAACATTTTCTATACACAGTGAAACAGAAGTAGGCCTATAACTCAGTTGCAGAGTTTAAATCCTAGCACTATAAAAATAAAAACTGATTTCAAGAATGAGTGACAACCTAATACACAGTAGACTGGTAGTGTGGGACCACTATGCAAACTGTATTTCGGATAAGTCTCTGTTTCTCTCTTAGAAACTCAGGGAAGAAGTGAAAGGCCACTGGCAATGTCATTCTGCATCTCCCATGGCTCCTCCCAGGGACTCATCTCTAGTCCCCTAGTCATCCTCGCCGCCACCATACATATCAGCCAGCTTCTTGAAGCGGTTTCCCCACTCATTCAGATAGTCGTAGTCCTGGTCCTGATCCGACTTGGAGGAATTAAGCGAGCTCAAGCTAGCAGCTTCAGAACCACTCCCCTCATAGTCAAACACCAACAGAGAGTCGTAAGGAGGTGCCGTGGGGTCGCTATCAGCTGCCTTCAGATTCTAAAGGGAAGAACACCACATTTATTACTGTGTGTCTGAGGTAAACAACACCCAAAATATGAAAGGCAACCAGTGAGTAGTTAGGCATACACATCAACACAGGATGCTTTCCCTAAGTAGGGTTGATAAGTTATATGATGTCATCAGGGAAGAGATGGACAGCTAGCTGCCTATCAGGATGGGGTCTCCAGCAACCAGAGTAAGGACCCTGTATCACCAATGAGGACAGACAGGCTAAAAACAATGAGAGTGGTTGGGTGCTGGTGGCGTACTCCTTTAATCCTAGCACTTGGGAGGCAGAGGCAGGCGGATCTCTGTGAGTTCGAGGCAAGCCTGATCTACAAAGGGAGTTTCAGAATAGCCAGGGTTACACAGAGAAACCTTGTCTCAGGAAAATGATTTTAAAAAATGATTCTTTACAGCAATAGGAACCCTAACTAAGACACTCTGCTACATAGTTCAAGGTCAGCCTGGTCTATACAGGGAGTTCAAATCCATCCAGAGTTACATAGTCTTTGATACTTAGTTCCTAAGTGGGAGGATTAGGAGTTATGGCCTTGTTGGAGAAGGTGTGTCACCGACCAGGAATTCAGATTTGGTTTGTTGTTGTTGTTGGTTTTTTTTTTTCCAGTTAGCTCACTTTGTCTCTATCTCTCTTATTGCCTCCAGCTTGTGGATCAAAATGTGAGCCTCCAGCTACTGCTATGCTCCTGCCATGACAATCATGAACTCCAACCCTAGCTCTACATTAGACTCTTCTGTAAGTTGCCTTGGTCATGGTGTCTCAGTAAAGCAATAGAAAAGCAACTAAGACACCAAGATAATGAAGCAGGAAGACTCTATACACAACAGAGTAGACTGCTGAGCCCAGCCTTCCACAGGCATAAAGTGCATATCCTACTGTCTGCTTAAGCTTTTTTATTGGAGCTGAACATACTTCCTACATGTACAATAACATGTGGGATTGCTATTTTTATGGGCCTTATATAAATATGTGTGCACATGTGCATGTGAAGGCCCCAAGTATTCATTGGGACATCAACATCGAGTCGTCTTCAACTACTCTTCACTATATTCCCTGAGACAAGGGCTCTCAATTGAATCTACAGCTTGCTGATTCTGGATGATCTAACCTAGACACTAGAATAAAAGGAGGCTGCCAAGCTCACTCAGCATTTGTGTTGGTGCTTCAGATCCAATCTCTGGTCCTAAGCCTTACTCCAAAGATGCTCTACCAACCTGTTGAGCTATTGTCCCAAACTTCCCAAGATGCTATCCCAAACAGCTGTAATGAATGCAGGGGACCCATTCATGAAACGAAATTAAGTCTACTAAAGCTTTGCAAGTAGATTTTGGTTTTGTCTCAAGGATATAGACAAGTAGACACAGTAAGGCAAGAATTCAAAGGTTCTCCTCATTGGAATGTTTTTCTCCTTGGTTCTTGAGTTAAGAGATGCACTCTGCCCTGGCTTGCAGCCTTGCTACTTACTTCATCGATGAAGTTCCCGATTTCATCAGGATTGGCTGGGCGGGGACGATACTGGGGCATACTCAGGAGGGTGGGAGCCACATCATTTCGAGTCACTTCAGGTCGGGCATCCAAGCCCCTGTGCAACTGGCTCAAATCAAAGTCCTAGAGAGAAGAGCAGAAACATGCCAACAAGGGAAAAAGAAGCAGGTGCATAGACGGGGATTTGTCTGCTTCATGGGATCAGACTGTGCCACTGGACAAAGGTAAAACTACCCTCTGGGTGGTATTGACCATCATGTGTCCAGAAGCATATGATATGGCAGTTTCCAAATGAAGAGCTCGTAACTCAAACAGCTGACCTGAGCAAGTAGGAGCTCAAGGAACCAGCATCATACTGAACCAGGCTCCCTGAATGCGGGTGTCAGTTAGGCAGTCTATGGGGCCTCTGACAGTGGAACCAGTATTTATCCCCAGTGCACAAATGGTCTTTGGGAGCCCATTCCCTACGGAGGGATACTCTCTCAGCCTAGATACACAGGAGAGGCCCCTCCCCAAATGACATGACAGACTTTGATGATGACTTCCCTCATGGAAGGTCTCATTCTCCCTGGGGATGGGGAGTAGGATGTGGGGGATGGTTAGGGCATGGGAGGATGGGAGGAAGAGGGAACTGGGATTGATCACTTGGGTCTTCTATGAATGCAAACTGTTGTATCCTATTCATTTCACAAGACATGACTATTGGGTTATTACTGGGCAAATTTTACTAAGTCCTTCCCCCACCATAGCTGATGCCTGTTAACAATAGAATCTGTCATGTGAGGGGCTTCAGGTAACATGACTGCAATTGATGCATGCCTACTGGAACAAAGATTAGGCTCCCATACAGACCTGGGCATGGGTGGTTTATGGCCTTTCAGCAAAACTCTGCCTGGATTAGCTGAGTTCTCACTGATTCACAGATGTTGTAAGCTTCAACGTAATCAACATATGCTTCAGAGAACACAAGAGTGCCTGAGGAAGACACCGGACTTCTTGTGTACCACTGAGATCATAGTGTTCTATGTTCCATAGCAGTACTGTAGAGATGACTCACAGACACAGCAGTATCTGGCAACCCTCCCCCCACAATCAGACTTAAAGTTTTGCATCTTTAAAACTCACCTGGTCCTCTTCTCCACCTCCTTCTTCATCATAGTAATATACATTGTCCCGGGTGTCATCGTCTGGGGGCAACAGGGGCTCCTTGACCACCGTTCTCCTCCGTAGAAACAGTAGGAGCAGCAGGATCAGAACTGGAGACAGAGGATGGGGTCGGGGGAAGAGTGATGAGCCATAGGCAAGAAAGACCAGAGGAGGGCACCACAGCCTTGCAACTCCCAGGCAAGTCCACCCTGGGCTATGTGTTAAGCCTGAACTACAGATGAAACCTCAAAAAACAACACAAAAACAGGTTGGCCATCTGCTTCAAATGCCTAATTTGAGAATCTTCCCAACTTGTGCCAAGTCTAATAAGATATGTCTACTAGTTGTTCAGAAAAATAACAGCAACAAAAAACATTGATCATAGGAACCCTCAGGGCACTGGCACCAAAACCCAGGACACTCTACAGGTAAAAACAGATCAAAACCAATCCCATCTCCATTCTCGATCTTTTCAGCCATGGATGCTCATTGCTCATCCAATTTACTATCTCCACTGTGTCCCAAGCATTCAGTGGACTCCTAGTCATCCAGTGAAAAGCAAGAGCTTCTAAGCTATCTAGCAATTTGGTATGGCTGCACTTGGGCCAATGGGATGTGAGCCAATGATAGTGCTGTCCACAACTTGCTTTTAGGTAGCCTCAACTTTCTCTCTTATCTGCCCTCCCAGATGGAATTGGGGGGGAAGGGATGGTGACAGCTGCCAACCTTGACTGTGCTAATGAGAACAGTGGCTGGCCAAGGTCTTGTTGCCACACAGGTGGTCCTGCAACCTCAGTATCACTTGGAAACTGAAAATGCAGCCTCTGAGAATCGACACCAGGCACCTTGAGTCTAAATTCCCACTTTAGTGAGGGGCACAGGTGATTTGTGTGTGCTCAATCTTAGCAAGCACAAAAAGAAACAGCAGAACTATCCTGGGTCTCATTTCACCTCATTACCAGTTTAATCTGTACCCTAAGAGAAAGCTCTTCCTAGGAACAACCCTTCTTCCTATTCTTAGAGGTTGCAGGCTGAGGCATCTGCCAGCTGTACTTACTCAGCAAAGCAAGGATCCCTCCAAGAATCCCTAGGATGGCAGGAACTTGCAATCCCGCTTCCACATAACCCGACCTCATGCAGTTGTTGACAGCACCTTCGCAGTCACACACAATGATGTCCAACGTGGTCACCTGGTCTTTGTTCTGGTTATCCATGAGCTTGAGATTGATTTTGTATTCACCAAACTCTAAGGCCTTTTTTGGCTTCAAAATGAGAGATTCTCGGGCTAGGGAGAGTACAGAATAAGACTCAGTAAATCCAAGTGTTTAGGGAACCAAAGACACACAATGCTGGGGAAGGAATTGCTTGGGGCTCGCATTACTGTGCAGTATGTCTCTGAGGAAAGGGGCATGAAGGAAATGTAGAAAGAACTGGCACCACATATCAAGGGGAAGGAGAAGAGGGGTGCATCTGGAGTTAGAAGGGAACCTTGAAGTGGGAAGGCAGAAGTGAAGCAGGCAGAGCTGCTGTGGAAATGTAGCTGCACACCTGAGTTGTTGTACTCAATGGTCCAGTTGACACTGGCCCCGTGGGTTAGTTCAGCAGTGAAGGGGGATGTATTGGGGGGAAGGTCTGGATCAAAGATTTTGATGGCATGGGGCTCTGGGTTCCTCTGGCAGAATTGCATGCTTCGAGGTTCTGGGATGGGAGCATTGTCATTGACATCAGTTAGCACCAAGAGAAGAGTTCCCGTGCCAGTGGCAATTGGCGAACCTAGGAGAAAACAGAAAGGCCGTTGGAAAGCTCATTGCATACTTTGTGCGCAATGATTAGATCATTCCTCATATCAAAGGCAGCTTTCTTTCTTGTTTTTGAGACAAAGTCTTACTCTGTAGTCTTTGGAATTAACAATCCTCCTGCCTCAATCTCTTGATACAGCGGATCATTTTAAAAAGAAAAGGCTGCTGAGTGTGGTGTGGTGGTGGTACTTACTTGGATTTTTTTTTTTTTTTTTTTTTTTAAAGACCGGTTTCTCTGTGTCACCTTGACCATCCTGGAACTTGCTCTGTAGACCAGGCTGTCCTGGAACTCAGATTTGCCTGTCTCTGCCTTCTGAGTGCTGGAATTAAAGGTGTGTGACACCACCCTCCAGCACTTGCTTGGAACCTTAGAACTTACAGGATGAGGCAGAGGAGGGTTGCCTCACTCAAATTTGAGGACTGCTAGGCTACATGTGAGTTTAGAGTGAATTCAAAATGAGTTCAAAACTAGTCGGGGCAGTGGTGGTGCAAACCTTTAAGCCCAGCTCTCAGGAGGCAGAAGAGAGAGAGGGAGGGAGGGAGGGAGGGGTGTAGGGCGAAAGGGAGGGAGGGAGGGAGGGAGGGAGGGAGGGAGGGAGGAAGGAAGGAAGGAAGGAAGGAAGGAAGGAAGGAAGGAAGGAAGGAAGAGGAGGCAAAGAGGCAAGGAAGCTGGAGAGTGATGGAGCCTAGTGATGTGGATGGGCTACATGGTGTCCATACCATCGTCTGTGGCAATGATTAAAGCTGTATACGTGCTGTTCTTCACATGCTCGGTGTCTTCTCTGTCCATCTCAGCCCGAGTGAAAATGGCACCAGTCTCTGGGTTAATCTCCAGCCAGTTAGCAGTGTCCCTCCAAATCCGATACCTGAAGACACAAGCTCTGGCTTAGGGTAGGGGCAGCAAACACACACACCCACACACATATATATTTTCATGTGCATATGTGTGTTCCTGAGTATATGTGTGTGTGTCACATGGGCAAGAGGTCAAAAGAGATTTCAGATCTCCAGGAACTGGAGTATAGATGTTTGTGAGCCTCCATGTGGGTGCTGAGAACTGAACTATGGTCCTTCAGTTGAAAAAAAAAAAAAATGGTGGTGGGTAGGGTGGGTCAGGAGGTAAAGGTACTCTTGTTACCAAGTCTGACAATTTGAGCTTGATACCCAGGACCTACGTGTCAGAAGGAAAGAACTGATACCCATTGGCAGTGCACATAAAGGTAATTCTTCAATGAGACTGAAGCATCTTAATTAGTTTGACATACTATACAATGTTCCCAAAAAATGATCAAACTTGTCATGGGTATATTTCTCAGAATGTATTATTGTTGCATGACAAATGACTACATTTCTATTTACTTAAGTGATAAGTATTAACAACAAAGTAGCAGGATAATGGTGGAGCACACCTTTATTCCCAGCACTGGGGAGGCAGAGGCAGGTGGATCCTCGAGTTTGAGACCAACCTGATCTACATAGTGAGTGCCAGGACAGTGAAACCCTTTCTTGAAAAGCAAAATAAAACAAAAACAAAGCCAAGTGTAAATACATACCAATCAACACTGGTCATTGGTCCTACTTACGTGATCTTCTGCTCCATGAATATGTCTGGCTCTCGGGCAGTATAAGATGTGATTTCCTGACCCACACCAAAGTCTTCAGGCACTTCCACTGTCTTCTCGGCAGGCACAAAGATGGGGGCTTCATTGATATCTAACACATCCACAGTGACAGTGGCTGTGGAAGTGACAGGAGACCCCTCAAAAGCGTCCACATTCGCTACTGTCACGTGCAGAATGTACTGCTGTTTGGCCTCAAAATCCAAACCCTTAAAAAACAGGAGGGAAAGAAAAACGAGTTAAAACTAAAATGCCAGGGGTTGGGTGTGTTTAATACACTGTCATAGAATAAACAAATAAATTAATTTCAGTACTCAGGAGGCAGAGGCAGGAAGACCTGTGAGTCTGAGGCCAGCCTGGTCTACAGAGTGAGCCAGCTCTAAGGTACTCTAGGTATCTATTAACTTTTGCTAAAGTCAATCAGTAAGCCATGCCCACTTTTTAGATGTTTTCCAAAGATTTATAGGCAGTTGTAAGTGCTGGATACTAAATCTAGGTCCTCTATAGAGCAACAAGTGCTCTTAATGACTGAGCCATGTCTCTCTAACCCAATGGTTCTCAACCTTTCTAATGCTGTGGTCCTTTAATACAGTTCCTCATGTGGTGGTGACCTCCAACCATACAATTATTTTCATTGCTACTTCATAACTATAACTTTGTAATTGTTATGAGTCATAATGTAAATATTTATGTTTTCTGCTGGTCTTAGGTGACCCCTGTGAAAGGACTGTTCGGTCCTCAAAAGGTCACAACCCACGGGGTAAGAATCACTATCTAGCCTCGGGCTTTACAACATTTTTCCAAAGTACCATACTTACTTCACTTCTAACAAGCCAGCAAAGAGCCAAGAGAGTTTCTGCAAGCCCCAGAAGGTCAGTACCATCCTCAGACTCTATCCCTCCCCTGACAGTGTTGATCCACTCATGAGAAGACATTATGGGACAAGAGGCCCCACATTTAGCACATCAGCCACCATGTACCATACAAACCTTGGTTGTTTTCAGAATGCCATCATTGGTTGTAGGGTCTGTGATGACAACAAATTGTTGTTCAGGATCATTGACTATGGTGTACACAGCCTCCCACGCTGGAGTATGGGGGGCATCATTGTCAGTTACTTTGAGTGTGGCGATGTACGCATTGGCCTCATTCTCAGACACTTGACCCAGGTACTACAGAGCAAAGGAAAAAGCACATCATTAGGGACAGGGTGTCAGTAAGCACAGAGCCAGTATTTGGGCTAAAGGAATGAAATCCCAGTAAGTGGGATGAATGAGGTCAAGAGAAGCACATGAGTCCCCAAGGATGATGGTATCTATCCTAGGAGTAGTCCCTCATTTCCCATCAGTAGCAGACCCAGCACCCTCTTCTATGAATAGCTGAAAATAGCCTTCCAAGGCCCTGGCTACAAGAACCATCTGATGCCATTTGCCCCCAAACCTCATCTACACTCTAATCTCTATTAGTAACTACTAAAAAAGATAAATGATGAAAGAAAAATTCTTTCTGGGCCTTTTGTAATGTAGGAGTGAAAAAGTCAAACTGCGCTTTTTGAAATTACGCTACTCAGGCCTCTGTATAACTTCTAACCAACTTAGTAAAATAGGATCTTCCCTTTCAAAACTAAAAAAGCTGACCATGGCAATACATGCCTGCCTGCCACCTTGGGCTATGAAATGCCATTGAAAATGAGGGGGGGGGAGGTCATTTATCTAGCTCTTAAAACCTTCTCCTTGAATGCATTCAATATTCATGGCTTTCAATAATTCTTATGAAGGTGGGCATGGCAGCTTATAGCTGTAACTCAGTGTTTAGAAGGTGTATTGTTGAGGCCAGGCTGGGTCACACAGTAAGACCGGTAATAATAATTCCTATAAATTGTCTGTAAGTTCCACACAAGACTTGTCCACTTTGTGTGGACAAGTCTCCAATATGTAACACATGGTGGCATATAAGCTTAGAAAATGTGATGAATTAAGTGAGGCCCAGGAAAAATTAAGGACATGAATCATCAGGAGCTTTTGGCAAAACATAATCCTGTGCCAATGGGCCCTAGGCCAAGGATGGAAAGTAGAAAGATTTCAAAGATGGTAACTACTCTAGTATGTTTGAAGTTCGCATTCACTATCCTGAAGATTCACCCATGCAGAGAGGCAAAACTTAGCTTGTGAACAATAAAGAGCCTCACTCAGAAGAACTAAGAAGCTGCCGAATTACCGTGGTTGGGTTGAAGATGGGAGCATTGTCGTTAATGTCATCAACAGTGATCACAGCTGTAGCTGTTGTGCTTAAGCCATCACCTTGAAGGTCAGCAGCTTGAACCACCAGGGTATATGTAGGATAACTCTGCAGACATCAAACACGTAGAATCAGAATCCGCTCAACAGCCACCCCAAACCTGGTGCAGCCCAAGGCATGTAGAAAACTACAATATTTCATTATTTGCTTTACTGCCCAGGCTGCCTGCTTCCAAATACAGAGCTTCTGGGCAGGTATTCAGATGCAAAGCCGAGTCATTCACACTAACTGACGACTAACTAGGCTCAGCAGAGGGTTGCACCGTCTGTGATATTTAGTATACATTTTCCTTCCCCTCCCAATGCCATCCATCCCGAGCCCTAACTGACCTCTCGGTCCAGCCCAGAAGTGACCACACTGATGACTCCTGTGTCTCTATTAACGGTAAACATGTTTTTGTGAGGCAGCTCAGGATCTTGGCTGATGATGGTATAGGCGATGGCAGCATTATAGGTGTTCTCATTGTCATCTGCATCAGTGGCTGAGACCTGCATCACAGAGGTTCCTGGAAGTGTCAAAGGAGAAGAGATTTAAATGGGATGCAGTTGTTACATTGGGATCTACTCCCAACTGCTCAAAACAATCACCACACTTTGTCAGTTTTTTATTTCTAAAATTCTCAAATTGCCAGTGAAGGGAGCATTACACCAAACCAGCCATGTTCGGGGGAACTCAACTTTCAGAGCCTATAATTTAGGTGTGAGGAAGAAAGAGAGCTTTAAAAATAAATTAACTAAAATATCCCTGCCAGATCCTTATTATTGGTGTGCATGTATGAGGCCAGAAGAGGACATCATATCCCCTGGAGGTGGAGTTGCATGCATGCACCACCAAGCCCTAGGAAGGTTATTCTTTTAATGGTTCTACTTATAAATGTGTCTATAGGTAGAATGTTATATCTGGTCCCCCACACCTCATCTCTCGCAATGGCTTTCAAAGAACATGTCTGAACTTCAGGGACCTGGCCCCCAAGTTATAATCCCAAAGAACTGAAGTGTTCCTGGGTCTCAGTTCCCTGTGACTGGTTTACCTGGAAGAGCACCCTCCAAGACATGTCCCTGAAAGACCTCCTTGATGAACTCTGGTCTGTTGTCATTCTGATCAGTCACTGTGATCACAATCTCCATGGGGTCCTCCACTGCATCCCCATTTGATGACACAGCATGGGAATAGAGCTGCAAGAGTCAAGTGAGGGTTTCTTAGCCACCCCAACCAGAAAAAGAGCTGGGCAAGGTCATCTGGCTAGAATGGCCTCCTCTCCTTCCACTGTGAGACCTCCATGAGAGAATTTTCTACACCATGTGTAGCTGCTTAATGAACTTACGATGAACCAAGTCTCAAGGCTAGAGCACACACCCACCAGGCACAATACCTAATTATCACATAGAGACTTGCTTAGACTGGGGTAATTTTCCTTTGGCCATTCTAGTCTAATGTTTCCCTCAGATTACCTTCCTTACATCCCAGAAGTAGATTTTCTCCCCATTATTGTCATCAGAATACATTTCATCTAGGTAAGAAACAGCCCTAAGAACAAGTTGACATCTTTTCATTTCTCTTTCTCTCTCTCTCTCTCTCTCTCTCTCTCTCTCTCTCTCTTCTCTGTGTGTGTGTGTGTGTGTGTGTGTGTGTGTGTGTGTGTGTTCGTTCGTGCAGAACAAGGAGGTCATAAGAGGGTGTCAGAGCATCTGGAGCTAGAGTTTCAGGTAGTTGTAAGCCACCTGATGTGAATGCTGGGCACTTAAGTCAAGATTCTCTACAAGAGTAACAAGTGCAGGCTGGAGAGATGGCTCAGCCGCTAAAGGCTAGGCTCACAACCAAAAATATAAGAGCAATAAATTGCTCTTAACCATTGAGCCATCTCATATCTCCAGCCCTTCTATGCTCATGTATGATGTGAGGAATTCCTGCTATTCTCCTGTAAGGAAAAAAGAACAATTAACCATCCCAAATTGTTCTCTTGGCTTAACATCATCAACATGTCAAGTGATAAGCTACTCACACAGCCAGGACATGTGTGTGACATGGGGATAAAACACAGGCTGCCCCCAAAACTTGACAATTGTTTCCCAATGGTCAACAAATATCTAAGAAATACTTACAATGTACTTAGCAATATTTTCTCTATCCAGAGGCTCTGTCACTTTCAGCCAGCCTGATTCTCTCTCAATGATAAACACACCTACAGGGGGTCTGTCAGCTCCTTGGCCGGTGATGCTATAGAAAACCTTGGTTTCTTTATCCCTGTTGGATTTGATCTAAACACAAAACAGAAAAGAAACAGAATTGGCAAAGAAAGACCTTGACATTGTTTTCTTTCATTTCTTTTCTTCTCTCAGTCCTTCCATACCTGAACAAGGTTTTTAGGAAATGGGCCCTTCTCATTTTCCGGGCAGCTGATAGGGGGTATGACCCAGTCTCGTTTCTGTCTTCTTGAACTCTGGTGAGAGCTGGGAAATGTGAGCACTTCTGGCTGGGATCCAGAGACAGAGTCCTAAAAGGAAAGAAGATTAACAAAATGAGAAACACACAGGTCTAATCGTTCAGGCTAACCCACTGATGTCTCCCGTCTTCTAAAGGTGGTATATGACGCATTCTCAATAGTAAATTCCATGACACTGGCTGCCCATAACAGTCCCTGTGCTTGAAAGGGTGGGTCCTAACTTAATGGCCAACGAGAGGTCTTCAGACCACCGGAAATAGTTCCTTGAAGTATACTGTGAGACCCCAGTCTCTGCTTTGCCTTTTGCATCATAAGACAAATGGTTTGTTTTCCTATATGCTTCCACTCTGATGTGCCGCCCTTACCAGAGGACAAAATTAGTATTATTTGGTTTTAAACCTCCAGAACCAAAACCCAAGTAAAATCTTTTCTTTTTAAGTTAATTGCCTCAGGAATTTTGTTATAGTATCAGATTCTTCCTCCCACCCCCCTTTCTTTTAAAACAGGGTCTTTCTGTGTAGCTCTCACTGTCCTAGAACTCAGTCTGGCCTCAAACTCAGAGATTTACCTACCTCCGCCTCCCAAGTGCTAGGATTAAAGGCATGTGTGATCACCACCAGGCTGATCTCTTTAAAGTCTAAACATCCATAATTCAAATAGTTACTGTGCATACACAATTTGTGGTTGTGAACATTATTTAAAAGTTATTTCAAGCTTTTGTAATACATGTACTTTAAATGACATTATACGCCAATAAAATCAGAGGTGATTTAGTAACTAGATATTTGGGGGTTCTGGACTTCTTTTGTTTGCCTAGGGATATAGGTCTCTAAGTAGAGTTATCAATCTTGTTTAAGTTACCAAACTTGTTTTGGGGAATTGCTACTAAGAACTACTTTGAGATCAATACAAATGTGTTAATCTTATTGTATCATATCTCTAAGGGTTCCATTTGTTCTAACAGAAGCTGTTGGGATAGGAAACAAAAATAACCTGGAGACTGGTATTGAACAGTTCCTATGTGCAATAAAGATAATTTCATGCATACTCAGGGAAATATGAGAGCTGAAGACTAAAGAAAAATGCCTCCTAAATTGCTTAAGTGTTTTAGAATGATTCAAGGTAACAAAGTTGAAGATTTCACCCTCTCTTGTCACATGGGAGATAAAAGGTTAGAAGTCATCTTCTGCTATATAGTGAGCTTGAGGCTATCTTAGGCTATAAGGGACCCTGTCTAAAGAAAAAACAAGAAACCCATATCAAACATGTTGTACACACCTGTAAAGCAAAATCCTGCCTCAAAATAAAAAATGCAGGACATATGTCGATTTCCCTCCTCATTGTTACCTCCAAATAATAAGAGTGTACCAACAGTTGTCACATGAGTCGTGCGTGGGTCAGGCACTATCTTATGTAAAGGTGCACTAACCAGAAGGTGTTCAGGCTGTGTGATATTTATGCCCCTTTACATAATGAACTTGCAAATCTAGATTTTGACACAAATGAAGAGTGGGCTCCTTGTGGATATCAAATGTGTGTATATGTTCTTAGTGTTTTGTGTGGTGAATTCACTCAGCCTACACAGGTTAAATGGGTCCTCTGTGGTTTTTAGTGTAATAGGTTAGAAAGAGCAATGATGGGCTAACAATTCCAGGCAGGGCCCATGTGTTCTTCCTTATCTTAGACTACAAGATCCTCAACTGGGGATAGATAGATAGATTTGTTTAACTTTATTTATATGCATTGGTGTGAAGGTATCAGATCCCCTGCTACTGTTGTTGTGAGTTGCCAGGTGGGTGCTGAGAAAACTCTGCAGGTATTCTTAACCACTGAGTCATTTCTCCAGCCCCAACTGGGGATATTTTTGTCACAAGCAGTTTCTGGCTGTTATAACTGACAGGTGGGATTTAGCATCCCCATAGCGTCTTCCCACAAAAATATCCCAACCTACATGGTGGTGGTGCCGGTGTTGGTGGTGCCCCACAGACTTGAGTATCACTCTTGTGGAAAATTTCTTGTGAGTAGAATCCCAGGCGTGGACAAGAAAGCTGGTCTGTAGTTTATGAAGCTTTAGAGGCCGGTTGAGTGTGATGACACCGTCTGTGGCCACCTTGAATCGGGAGTCTTCAGAAAAGTAGGCTGTCCTTGGCCGACCAGTGCACCCTTCAAATCTCACTGTAGGACAGAGATCGCAGCAATTAGAATATTGGACAGCTCGGTCACAGATAAAGACATTTCTTCTCCAGAAAGTGGACCTGATCCACCTACCAAACCATACAGAACATGTACCAGCTGATGACCAGAGTTCAGAGCCCCAGAACCCATGTAAAGAGCAGGATATGGTGATATGCATCTGTAAGCCCAAGACTCCTGTATCAAGAAGGTAGAATCACCCAAAAGCCCATGGGTCAGCAAGCCTACAGTTGACAGCCAAGGCTGCAGACCCTGCCTCAAATGCTTTCCAGAAGATCCAGGTTCACTCCAAGCACCATTATAGTGGCTCACAACTGTCAGTAACTCCAGTTCCAGCAGATCTAACATCCTCTTCTGGCCTCTGCAGGCACTACATGAACATCTTACACTTGGAAACATCACACACACACACACACACACACACACACACACACACACACACACACAAAATAAAAATAAGTAGATCTTAAAAAGAAAACAGAAGGCAATGGTGGCGCTGGCCTTTAATCTCAGCACTTGGGAGGCAGAAGAAGGCAGATCTCTGTGGGTTCAAAACCAGGCTGGGCTGGTCTACAGAGTAAGTTCCAGGATATTCAGGGCTACACAGTGAAATCCTGCCCTCCCCCCAAAATTAATAAATAAAACAAACAAATAGGAAAAAAGAAAACACAACAACAGAGCTTGGATAGGACACAGTGAGATCTCTGGACAAGTATTTTGCTTTGTATCCCAGGCTGAACTCAACTCACCATCCTCTTGGCTTGACTTCCTGAGTGCTGGGGTTACAGGCATATAGCATTCTGCACATTTTTAAATGGTTTAAAGAGTAGAGTCAGATATAGATAGATAGATAGATAGATAGATAGATAGATAGATAGATAGATAGATAATTTTGAAGTGTGACACAAGAGAGAGAGGAACTTACACTGCCAGGTTCTGCTGAGGTAGAGGTATCTAAGGTGTACTGAAGGAGTCAGTTTTGCCACTAACATGGCTAAAGACAGTTCCAAGTCCAGGACAGTGGTGCAAACTCATTGTCCTGGCTTCTCGGGAAACTAAGGTAGGAGTACTGCTAAACCTCAGAAACCTAGGCAACACAATAAGACCCCCCCCCCGACCTCTTAATGGTTCATGCCTGTAATCCCAGCACTCACAAAGCTGAGGCAGGAGGACCACAGTAAGTTTGAGGCCAAGTGAGCTATATAGTGAGTCCTACACTACCAGGCCTGAGCTACATAGTGAGACTGTTTCTCAAACAATAAAAACCAAATAAACAATGTGGTTCATATGTACAATTCTAGCACTTCCAAGGTGAAGACAGGTGCGTCAGATGTTTCAAGTCATTCTTGCCTACACAGCAAATTCGAGGCTGCATGAAACCCTCCCTCAAAAAATCAAAATCACTGAGATGGGTAAGGATGCTTGCAGCCAAGCCTGAGATCAATAGCCAACCCCCACCTCTGAAAGAAAGAGAACAGACCTCTGGGAGCTGTGCTCAGACCTCCACAGGCATATACCATGGAACACTCTCATGTCCACAAAGAGAGAAACGTAATAGATAACAGTTCACAATAAAACCCAGAAAGTAGCTTACTTTCCACCTTTTCAAACAAGTGCCCATCACAATGGAATTCCCATTTTGTCTAAGCCTCCTCTTATGAAAATTCTTCTTCCTGTGCCTATTTTACAAAGCCAGGCATCTATGAATTTTCCACTTTGGGCCTGGGGAAGATGCCTGTACTGAGTTGTCCATTTCTTCCACCAGGGGCCGCCCTTTGTAAACATGCCTGAAGCCAAAAACCCTGTGCTTGAGAATTTTGTTGGGGTGGAGTGTTACAGGCACCACCAACAATTCCACTGGCAAAATACTGTTCTTTGACACACATACTTTGGAGCCTAATGATAGTTCCAGAAAGATCTATGTGAACTTAAACAATTCTTTACTATGGGAGGAGAGGAAGGGGGATAGGGAGGGAGGGAGAGAATGAGGGAGAGAGCGAGAGAGTACAACCTCTGTGAAGTTCTTCAGATGCTTCAGTTCTCATTGGCCTGGAACTCAACAAGCAAGCCAGGCTGAACGGCCAGCAAGCACCAGGACTCCATCTGATGTCTCCACCTTGTCAGACTTTTTTCATGGATGCAGCAAGCTCTTTACTGACTGAGGCATCTCCCTAGTCCAAATTAGATGCTTTTTAAAGAAACTCTCCCAACCCACAGCACAAGTAATGGGAGGCTGGGTCATATTTGAGGGCTTGTCATACATATAAACAGGGAACAGAAGCTGGCTCTGATTCCTTTCCCCAGCCAGGACGAATCTAGGCAGTCAAAATCAACAAGGACATGACTGCACTTGCTGAGGGTGGTGGCTAAAGAGTGAAAATGACTTTGTAAATAACTTGGTGCAAGGCATTTAACCTGCTCAAGGCACTTCTTAATAGTGGCTGGCCCTCCTGCTTGGAGAAGTGACACCTTCCCACACAAAGCCCCAACCTGAAATTCCAGGTGCTGCTTATTATCTCTCAGTAAAACCAGATCCCTCTGACTTCAGGAAGTTGCCCAATTCACCATGCACAGATTTGAGAACACCAAGAACGGCACAAGGAATTGGGTGTGTGCTTGCATTTCCACACAGATTGAATAAAGAAAGCTGACAAGGGACTAAAGTCAATTCCACCCACTTTTCCTTAAGGGACAGTCACCTACATCGTTCCACCAGGGAACCACAGTAGTCACCGCCATCACACCTGGAATTCCATTGTTGGAGAGTCTGATGCTTCCCCAGCTTCACACAATCTGAACTAATAATAGCTTCAGTTAGCCCTTGTCAACTATATTAGCCACATTTTAAAGTATTTGTAGAATACTATCGTTCCAGGCTCCATTTTAAGCACTTCACAAATATTAAACCACTTTATGCAGCTGATGTTCGTAGCATACTTTTTTTCCCCTCCCCTGGGATGAGTAAGGGGTGGGTGTAACTGGGTCTGGCTAACTCACTCTGAAGGCCAGGGTGGCCTCCAACTCACAGAGATCAGCCTGTCCTCTCCTCCATGTGCTGGGATTAAGGTGTATGCCGCCATGCCTGGCACATCCTCTTTTTACAGATGGGGAAATTTAGGCAGATAATAAGTTAGCCAGGCTCAGGTTTGGAGCCAGGCTGCACTATAGCAGGCTCTTGCCCTATTTTGTTTTGTTTTGTTTTGTTTTGTTTGTTTGGATTTATTTCCATTTTTTATATATGGGTATTTTGTCTGTATATATGCCTACTACATACTACATGCATACCTGGTTCCATAGGAATCAGAGGGTGTCAGACCCTTTGTAATTAGAGTTACAGACAATTGTGAGCTTCCATATGGGTACTGGGAACTAAACCTAGGTTCTCTGGAAGAGCAGAGCAGCCATCATGCCAGGGCCAGTCTCACTTGAAGGATCTCATTTCTTCTTCCAGTAGGATGGGCATCACTGGAATGAGAGTGGGTACCTCCTTATTTAAAAGTTTTTTTTAATTGGGGTATTCTGTTCTATACAGTTATATTGCCTGGGCGTGCGTTAGTGCGTGTGTGTGTGCGCGTGCGTGCGTGCGTGTGTGTGTGTGTGTGTGTGTGTGTGTGTGTGTGTGTGTTATTGTTTCTTTCTTTAAATGACAAAAGCTAGTAAGAATGTCTTTCTAAATGTGAGTCTAATATTCATCAATAAGCAACCCATCTTCCGGCACACTTGGAAAAAGTAATAGTTAAACAAAAAGCCCTGGAAGAGACAACTCAAATTAAACCCCAGCTGATGAAAGCCTCCAGTGGCAGCGGGTGACTGAGACTCAGCAACATTCTTTTGTGTAATTGCCATCATGCCAGGGCCAGACTCACTCCAAGAATCCCATTTCTTCTTCCACTGGGGTGGCCGTCACTGGAATGTGAGTGGGTAGAAACAAAGCTCTCACAAAAGCCTCTGAACAGTACAGAAAATGCTGGGGTCTGAGGACCAGGGACCTGTCACCAAGGTCAGCTGACCATGGTTGACTGCTTCAGTAAGCAGTGTGGGGGGGATCCCATCTCTCAGAAACAACTGTTTGAAAGTAGAGCTCTGCCCACACAAGGGGGTGGGGGGTCACGACACAAGAAACAGCTCTCCCCCAGAGAAGTTCCACAGCCAATGCCAAGACCTTGGAACTTACCCTTACTTCCAGGACCATTTAAACATATACATACACTGCTCAAGGTTACAAAGGTATGATCAGAAAGGCTTTCTGAGCTCCTGAGGGCCACACTGCCACCATGTACCCCAAACTACAGCTGACAGAAGACAGAAGATGGCAAGTTTCACTTGAAGAATGAAGGGACTGGGGCAGACAATCTCCTCTTTTGTAGTTCATTAGTACTGTGTTGACCACAGACGTCAACACACAGACAATATCTCCCCAGGTCCATCAGTTTCTTAGATTGGGTAAGGCTGGATTGTCTTCCTTTAATATGTGTCTACATTACTACAAGCTTGTGAAACTATGTTCAGCAGGTGTCACTATAGCTATATATAGCTATATACTACATACAGAGGAAACATGGGTTGGCTATTTTGCCCAGCTGTGGGGAGCTGGGGACAAGTACAATCTACTTTTTATTAGATACAGCAGTCCTGGGTTAGAGACACCTGGTTAAGGGTATACAGTAGGGGACATTTAGCAACTGAGGCCCAGAGGGGTGAAGGGATGTGGCCAAGATACACTACACCATTGAGATGTTTAACCATCAGGCAGTCTGTCTACATCATGGGACATTTGACTAGTTGAGTGGAGGTTTACTTGTAGTAGCTATGAGGACAAGAATAGCAAAAGATCATCCCATAGACACCATAGACATGGGCCTCAAAATACAAGGGTACCCAGAGGGTGTCGGGCCACAAAAAAGGAGGAATCAAACTAGCCTCAAGGACCTTCCATAGCTCGGTGTGCACACACCTTTGATCCTGGAGCTGGGAGGCAGAGG